GGGGGGGGGGGGGGGGGGGGGGGGGGGGATTGGAGCCTATCCCAGACAGCAGAGGGTGAAGGGCAGGGGACACCCTAAACGGGGGGCCGTGTGGTGCAGAGATGCTAACTCAGGGAGGAACGGCAGGAAGTACATGCTGACCTCACACAGAGGCACAAACACACACACACACACACACACACACACACACACACACACCAGGAAAATAGAGTGGATATGACTGAAGGAAACGGGATGTTCCTAACCCAAAATGCTCCCGTCACGATTTAAAAAATGTCACTTCAACAACTAACAAAAGAAATTCAGCTGGATATGGAGCAGCTGTAGAAGACACTTGAGTAACAACTGCAAAACAGAAACTTTACAGTACATTAACTTTTTATGACATCTGGCAAAAATGCATTATCACAAATGAGTTTTGTTCTCACATGGTGACTTATGGGAACTGCAGCTTCCTTTCATTCATCCTTATTCAGCAGACCACTTCATGTTTCTGTGCGTTTGTATGCATCCATCATGCCACCGGCAGTATGGGTACTGCATGCAGTTCTGCCTTTCCATGTATGTTACACCTTATTCTCCATCATAATTACGACCTATTTAATAGTCTACCGCTGAAAAGATTAAAGGAGTTGAAGGAAAATAAAAAGCAATTTTCCCCCTGTGCAATATTGCTTAATAATGTTTCATAATTAAAATCGCCTTCCTTTCTTTTTTTAAAAAAACTCACATTCATTCTTTTTCCATGAGCCAGACCATCTGCTAGATGCATTTCCATGCCCTTTATTATTCCAAATAAAATAGGCACACCCAAAATTAAAACTGAGATACTTTTTTTTTTCCCCCCCTCCAACATGTGTTTCTAGTTTGATCCGTGGCGGATACTGAAGAAAAATTCTGCAGCTGACCCGTGTCTTATAGTTCAAACGTATTACACATCCTTCAAACGTGGTTCGTTTGCTTCCCACCGCAGCGTAATTGGGGACTACGCGATTGTTTACACTGTCTGCTGCAGAATCTTCAGCTCACGTTACGAGAGTCTTTCCTCGTCGCTCAAAACGGTTGAGTTATGTCTGATCAAGGTTGTTGACGTCTTAAGCGAGTCTCTTATAAGCGAGGTCTGGAACACATCTCGCAATGGCGTTCATTTACGGTAATGCGCTTAGCCTTAAATTAAAAGCGAGATCCTAACGCTAACTCCACTGATATTTCCTATTTGTGTGTGTCTAGACAGATAGCACACGCTTCTTGGGTTTTAATGAAAGAATTGGCTTGGCTCTGTTGATTTGTTCAAGGGTTAGATCAAGGCATAGTCAACATTATTTTAAACCAGCTCTGGAAGACGCCTGGAAGGTTGGATAGCTTGACAGGTTGTTTGATTGATAAGCCACTGTGTCATTAAGCTAGCCGCTCTGGGGAGGACTGGCTCTCAGATCTGTACCACACATGCTTGCAATCCTGGGTTTCAGCTCCCCGCTACCCAACATTGTAGTTTTAAGTCGCACTTAGTCTCCCCCAAGTCAGCTGGGATTGATTAAGCTTGCTTTGTTTTTTTTATTCCCCAAATGATGCACATTTGCGTGTGTGTTGGCCTAAGTTGGTTACACTGAAAATGGTGACTCTTGAAGATATAACTCAATTAATCTTAGATACATCTTTGCAAGCAAAAGGAACCTTTATTTGTCTTTGTCTTTTAATGTATATTTACCCAGTCACTAAGTAAACTAGGAAACCCCGAAAAATCGATCGAAAAGAGTGTAACCATCACACTCATTACTCATCTTTTTAATCCAGAAATATCCCACCAACTCTCATCTGAGAAACAACATTTCCCAAATATGTGGAGGTCAGCGAAGGTCAGATTCTCAGTGTACATTGGGGAGGATGAGTTGTGATGGACGGAGAGTGCGATAGCCATCTTTAGTTAGTCGTAAACATGAGCAATGAACGATCTCACAGGAAGAGGTCTGCTGTGAAGGCATACTTTCAGTTTGGTCCACAAATCAAAAAATGTGTAAAATCTGCATATGGCATGGTAACTTTTGAGGAGGTACAAGTAGCTTAGTAACTCAGTTACTACTCAAGTATGAATCATGAATGAATATATTAAACTACATGAAATATATAAACCCATTATTAGCGATTAACCATGAACTAACAATTCATTTCTGGTTAATTAATGCATTAAGTAAGAGTGTAATACTACATTATTTGTGCCACATCAAGTACAGTGTTACTACCTGGCATTTTGTTTTTACTGGACAGCACAACACTTGGCGGCTACTGTATCAGGTATCCCTATGCAGTACCAGGCACGATGCCTCTTCTACAAGGGTTGTTGAGTTGCACGTTCAGAGAAGCCAATCTCCACCCCACTGTTGTAGCAAAGTTTTATTTCTGAGCTTGTGGTCTCTGTTTTATGACTCTGGCCGCCCCCCCCTCGAACCTCTATCTTTCACAGGGTGTTTCCAGCAACAGAATCGCCACTGACTAGATGCTTTATTTTTCTTTGTTTGTTTATTGAACCGTTCTCTGCGAACTGTAAACTGTTTCTCCGATGCTGGAATCACCATGCCTGGCATCAGCAGTAACAACGCAAGACCACTTACGCCACGCGCCTTAGCCTCTCCGGTGCTTAGCTGAATGTTTACTTGCTGCATCTTTTCAGTCAGAGGGTATATTTTATGCTGTCATTGACCGTCAACTTGAAAATAGCCTTTTCATTTTTGTATGTATTCAGTGATGGAGATCGGATCCGACATCTGATGGTTTGCATTTTATCAGAGCCCCTCCGCGGGTTCCACACAAATGTTTCAGCATTGCGCCTTAATCAGTGTGTCTAATAAAATGCAAACTATCAAAGTTCGCACCTGATTGCCATTGTTTTGATTATTCTACGAACTGATGGTATTTATCAGCTGGTCGAGCACAGTGATTGAAGTTTTTTTTTTTTCCAGATGTGAATGTTCATTGGCAAGCAGTTTGTCTCATGTAAAACACAAGGATTTATGGGTAACCTGTCCACTTCCTGTTTCTCATCCCAGGCGGTTGCACTGCACCAGGAACTACATCCACATGCACCTCTTTGTGTCGTTCATGCTCCGCGCGATCAGCATCTTCGTCAAGGACGTGGTGCTGTACTCCGGTTCCGCCATGGAGAACATGGAGCGGGTCAGTGTAGAGGACCTGAAGTCCATCACCGAGGCGCCCTTTTCTGATAAATCCCAGTTTGTAAGTGCTGTTTGGACCTCTGGGTTCCTCTCACCCCAGCACTCCCACTCAGACACGCAACTCCATTCCTCAGGACCCCAGCAAACTGTGCAAGGAAGATTTCAGAAAGTCACGCACCATTCAGGTCCACCTCTCAGGGAATTAATCTCAGCTCTTCATTCACTTTACTCACCTGTGGCCTGTACTACGAAGCAGGGTTACTGGCTTGTCGGGGTAACTCGTCGGATTTAAGGTACCGCAGTTTAAATGGACTTCATATTCGTTCACTTACATTTTGCCCAGACTACCTTAAATCCGACAAGTTACCCCAATAAGCCAGTAGCCCCGCTTCGTAGTACAGGCCCCTGATGTCACTAACTGATGTTTTGAGACACGGCTATGAAAGGTATCTTGTAATCTAGCTTAGCAACAGTCAAGTGTTACTCGAATCCTTCTTCCGTTTCCCACATTCTGGTGAGAGCTGTTGGCCAGGCACAGAGGAATCACATTTTACAGTTTTTCACCTTTTCATTTGCATGTCAACTGGAAAATCTAAGAATCATTACATAAAGTAGTCTACATAAAATAAAACCACCCAATAAAGTCCGCTAGATTTTTATTGGGAACGGTCAATATAAATGAATTTAAACTATAAGAATTGCGTTCAAGTTAATTCTGTTGTAGCATAAAAACATTTATTTTGAATGCATGAAATGTACAGTATCGTTGATGCCTTCAGCTGAACTTGTTCTTTGTGAAACGTGTCCGTTTGCTGCAGGTTGGCTGTAAGATTGCCGTCACCCTGTTTCTCTACTTCCTGGCCACCAATTACTACTGGATCCTTGTGGAGGGGCTGTACCTGCACAGCCTCATCTTCATGACCTTCTTTTCGGACAGGAAGTATCTCTGGGGCTTCACCCTCATTGGCTGGGGTGAGTGGATGACCAAACATCGGGCACAATTCCACTTCTGTGCAACGTTGTTCGCAAATATGCAGCAAACTGTACGAGAAACAAAACTGATCTTTTGGTGTATTTGTTTCTGGTCACAAGTAATTGACACTAAGTGATTTAACTTAGTATTCTGTAAGAATGAAAAAAAATCTAGTTTCAGCTACTTCTCCATTACACTATCCTGAGAGCTTTTGGCAAGAAAGCGCAACATTTGTGGAACTCTGAAAAAACACCCCAGTGGTAAATCTACCATGGGACATACAGTATCTATAGCACATTCGATACTTTTAAACTGGACATCTGCGTTTGTTTCCATTGGCCTTACTGCTTGTTTGCATTGGTTTGTGTTACTGCAGAACGTGTTCCTGCACTTAATTTAAGGGGTACATTTCGGGGTCGCCATTACAACACTGTGCACCGTCCATACCTTACATTTATGGGATTAAAGTTAAGTGTCACATTACCACCACAAGGGGTCGACTTTGAGCAAAGTGCAATGTAACCGAAGACATTGTTGTTGCTAAATTGCTAGTGATTATAACCGTAATACAACAGAGCTATTATAACATTTATACGTTTATTATGAGCAGTAATGCGCAAGTTGGTTCATTTTAATTTACTAATAAACACATGTCACACAGCTGGCAAATGAAATAGCGCAAAGAGTTCTTCCAAATGCAGATATGAAAAATCAACATGACACAGTCCTAATTACAGTATAAACGTGATAATATTTGGTAGGCTATATATTCTCTGTGCTGAAGCATGCATGCAGGCAAAAGGTATAATAATTGTGTTTTTTTTTTAAGCAACAGCTTTAATCCTTAGCTTAGTTCTCATGGTTGTCAGAAATGGACTCTTTTTGGACTCTTTTTCATAGAACAGAAGACAAGCTACAGACACTTTTCATTTTCTATATGACAACTGCAGAATTCACTATTCACTGCATTTATTGCGTCTGCCTTTAAGAACTGCATTTATTGCGCGGGTCGTAGCATGTGGGAGGAGGGGCCCTGCGACAGGCCTCACTGCCCCTGCATTGTACACACTGTGTGTATCAGTGCTCTATGCACAGCGCATACAATGTGGATGCCGTGTCGTCCTACTACACGCTCTGCCCTGTACGGCGTGCAAACTCAGTGTTGTCATTTAAGGCTGTGTTTTTGACATTATATTTATGGCTTCTGTCATGTTTAAAAACATTCGGATTTGCATTTTCAGAAATACACACCAAAGGGTGAAAAAAATGTGCCATTTCCTGAAACACCCCCATTTAGAAATTAATATCCTGACACATGTAACATTTTTGGTTTTACGATAACACGGCTTAAGCACCTGGCTGGAGGACGCTGTCTTCCTTTGTCTTGATAAACGCCTTCAACCACCACGCCCCCTGCTGTCCATATGTGCACAGTTGGTTTGTGTCTGCACCTCTGACTGGGAGGCATCCTGGTGATGGTGAACCTGATTGTCGGTGTTATCTTGCAGGGGTCCCTGCCATGTTCGTCACGGTGTGGGCGACCGTAAGGGCACTGCTGGCAGACACAGAGTGAGTGACCAGGAAGGCGTCCCGTCTCAGTCACCTATACCGTAGCAGTCAGTGTGTCTTAACACTGCGAGTGAACCTTCCTAGTTGTAGCACTAATGTATCGATTTTGGGATCTCCACTGTCAACGTCCCAGTCAGTCCATTAGGTAACACAGGCGGGCACCTAGACTGCCTTTTTATGAGGTGCATCGACTCATAAGTCTGCATTTAAAAAATTATTTTTGGGAGACTCTTTATTTTGATGACAGATCATCATCAGAAATCATCTGAGATGTCAGCTGCAGTAATGGACATAACCAAATTACAGTAATACGAGCCAGAAAAAAAAAAACATTTTCACACAGTATTATGTAACTATGAAATTGTTTCATGTATAGAATATATGTCTTTGAGAAAAAAAATTAATAATTAATGTCAGAATCAACACAGATGTACAGAATAGCAAAGAAATTGTTTAAATACAGAAATAAGTTTTTATGCATATTGGGGTGACCTTCAAATAAATTAATGAAATTCCTCTTATGACACATAAAGCGGCCCATTAGTACCGGAATGTTCTGCTTTATTATGATTTAACTGGAATTATTCTGAGGTTATGAAATGGGTAAGACATACAGAAAAGGCGCACAAGGATTCCTTTGAACTGTGTAACATGAGCAGTCCTGCGCTGGCCCATCTCTGGGGCTGCAGGGATTACAGTGCTGATAAATGTTTGATTTATCCGACCGCAGATGCTGGGATCTGAGCGCAGGCAACCTGAAGTGGATTTTTCAAGTGCCGATCCTGGCAGCCATCGTGGTGAGCAGAGCCATCGCCGTCGTTTCCGCTGACAGGCGCGGAAATGAAAACATCCACTTTTTTTTTTTTTCGTACATTCAGCTCTGCCATTCTCAAAGACTCAACATACAATGGGGTTTTTTTTCTTTCATTTTTTATGTTTTTTTATGCATTTAGGCTACAGTTTCTACTACTTTGCTACTTAAGAGAAACATTAAGAGGTTAATGTTAACATGAACATCCATTAATAAAGTAAATTAGTAATTATACGAGTAAATACGTGTATGATATGTAACTACATACTGTACAGGACTGTGCAGAAGTCTTAGGCTATTTATCTGGGTAGTGAGTAAGCTCATTTTAGCATTAAAACATATACCCATTAAGAGTAAAACTAGTAAAAATCTCTTCTGTTCTCCAAAAGGTTACTGATATCTTGCTGGGTGGCTCCTCAGGGCCACCTCAGTCATTCCGTGTATTTGTTACGTTTCACCATCAGCTCACTTAATTAATTAAATTAGTAAAAAAAAAAAACAATTCAGTGAGGTATCGATTAGTCGAATGAGGTTTGCTGGTGCTCCAGTCAAAAAACACATGGGCGTACTTGATGCAATTCCTGGGATGATTTTAGGACGGCTAAACCATACACACTTTAGATGAACATCATTTAAACGTCATTCTCATAGACTGTCTAAGACTTTTGCATGGTGTATGTGCTATACTGTATATACATGCAAACACACACAAAGACAATACAATTTCAGTAATATTACTTGTGCTTCATAGAGTAGGATGATTATGATATCTGTCCATGTAATATCAGGCTTTACAAGCTTATTTTGTTCATCTTCGCCCCCAGGTAAACTTCTTGCTCTTCTTAAATATAATCCGAGTCCTGGCGACAAAATTGCGCGAGACAAATGCGGGTCGCTGCGACACCAGGCAGCAGTACAGGTGAGACCATTTGCATTTCATAATTACCGTGCCGCGAACCAGAACATTATTCAGCGCGTGGTTCTTGGACTGCCTCTGCGGTTAGACAGTCAGCTAGGTGACCGAAATGTAGATGCCAGTTCATTAAGATACATTCATAATGGCTGTGGAAGTCATTACCTGAAACATCCGAATAAAAGAAAATACAACTTGAACATTTTTACTTGAACTGAACTCTCAACCTAAACGCCAAACATTCCTGTCATGAATAGAGCGGAATGGCTTGTTGCGCTCTACTGGGTCTCTCCAGAATAGATGGTCTCTTTCCAGGCCTAAATTCCATAGTGATCCTTGTTTTACCTGGAACAAATTGCTTTAGCTCTGCGTTAGTTCTGGGGCTCATTGGAGATGCCTATCTGAGGGATATCCCTCTTCCTTCTGGCCCACAGGAAGCTGCTGAAATCCACGCTGGTGCTCATGCCTCTGTTTGGGGTGCACTACATCGTCTTCATGGCCATGCCCTATACGGAGGTGTCTGGGGTGCCCTGGCAGATCCAGATGCATTACGAGATGCTTTTCAACTCATTCCAGGTATTCGAAGGGGACCTTCGCGGTTTATATGAAGAACAGGGTCTTGCTGACTTTTTTCTGGAGTGAGCATGCTTGTATGGATAACTAATGTATGTAAAACTAATTGTAATATTGCAGAATGACTTGTCATGTGTGTATGTATTAGATCTAGGTAATGTATGCACGGTGAAATGTCAAGTAAATTATTAATCCTGCGCATCATATTTTGCATTTAGTTTGGGTAATACGATGGCACAGTTAAAGTCTCGTTCACTTTGGATTCACGGATATCTGTCTCTTTTAAAGGGATTCTTTGTGGCGATCATATACTGCTTCTGCAATGGAGAGGTGAGTACTATTTCATTTGGCAGCTGTGTGACATGTGTTTATTAATAAATTAAAATGAACCAACTTGCGCATTACTGCTCATAATAAACGTATAAATGTTATAAGAAAATAGCTTAAATGAGCCGTGTCAGCTTCAGGATAAGTTTACAGGATAAGTTTACAGGATAAGTTTCCAGCTCCAGGAAAAAATACATATTTTATATATTCATATTAGTGCTAAATATATTGTTTCATCTGGTATACTGGTTTTAATTTCCCTTACAGTACGAATTTTTCATATACCGTCATACCGTAGTATAGCTGAAACAGCTGTACTGCTTCAATATGCAGCTAATTATAAAATAATCTTTGCCACTAGACGCACTTTGGATCAGTGTTACAGTCATATCTTCATAACACAACGTCCATCCATCGGTTTTCTGTAACCGCGTGTCCTGTTCAGGGTCACGGGGGGTCTGGGGTCTATCTTGGGGGCTACGGGCTCAAGGCAGCGAACAACCCAGGATGGGGGGCCAACCCACCGCAGGGCTCAGTCACACACCAGTCACGCACACAGGCACACCTAAGCCTAAAAGCAGACGGAGCAGTGACCAATAGCAGTACTTTAGCCATCTTGCTAAATATCACTGTTAACATTCAATCAGTTTTTCGGTTTATCTAGTTACAAGCTCAGGGTATGGCACCATGAGCTAGTAACAATCGGGAATGATGTTAGGAACTTCCTGGATGGAAGACATGTTGTAATCGCCTTTTAATCTGGCCGTGAACACGCATTGCTCTGAAAAGAGAACCAAAATTCTTCATGTTGTCTGTGTTGTGATATACTTTTAGGTGCAGGCAGAAATCAAGAAGTCGTGGAGCAGGAGGACGCTGGCTTTGGACTTTAAGCGGAAAGCGAGGAGCGGAAGCAGCACATACAGCTACGGACCTATGGTGTCGCACACCAGCGTGACCAACGTGACTGGGAGGGGCCCCTTGGCCCTGCACCTCACCACCCGCCTGGGCCCCGTCTCCATCAACGGCCACCGGAACCTCCCGGGCTACGTCAAGAACGGCTCTGTCTCGGAGAACTCCATCCCCTCTTCCGGGCAGGAGGTGCACATCCCAGAGGAGGTGCACCCAAATGGCACAGGGCTACGTGAGGAGGACAAGCCCCCTCCACTGGTGGAGGAGGAGAGGGAGACGGTCATGTGACTCCATGCCTGTGATCAGCAGTGAGCGCCAGTTATCAAGGGAGCTAAATCATTAGCTGCCTCCCCCTCAGGATTTTACTTATCGGTTGGCTGCGGCCTTCTGTCGAGCTAAACTGTACTAGAATATTGCCTCTGGAAGAGCTGGGCTTTGCTCAGAATGGACCGTCTTTGTTTTGGCCAGGATGCAGTGTTGCAGTGGACCATCAGAACAGTCTTATTCACCTCTGGGTTGGTGTCTCCCAGAGCTTCTTTCACCAGCAATACTGGGCAGTCCTTGCAGTTGTAAACACTGGCTCTGAAGTCATGTAAGGTCAACTAGGACTTCATCACAGTCGCTACCACACACGTGTTGATCTACACTTGGTGATCTCCTTAGCTTTATAGCATTAACCAGTGTTTTCACTGACTGTCCATATCATTGGCTTTCATTATATCCTTCACTACGCGGTTGTGGTTGTTTCTTCTGTCACCTGATGACTGTGTGATGGGACAGAAATGACCAGATCTGTCATGCTTACATTCAGGTTTGCTCATCTCAGGCCTAAAGCGAAAAGCATTATGACATACTGTAAGATGCAGTGCCTCGTTGCACGTTTTCCTTGAGGTGGGTCATGGTCAGGTTAGTTCGGGGCAGATCAACAAACAGGTCGTTTCCAAAAGCAACTGGATGTCACCATTGGAACCAAAAGTAAACCAAAGGAATTCTGGGAAAGTTCAACAGTGGGGTATTTATTAGCGTCGGACAGATGTTTGAGTTACTCCGTGGCTTATCGTGTGATGGAGCTGTGGACTGAAACCTCAGAGGACGTTTTTATTAACCTTTGTCTAATTAATAATCCCTTGTCACAGACATACAGTAAGTTTGGAACATGGACCTCAGTACTGATTTCCGCACCAGTCCGTCTACAGGCTCATTCGTTGCCACCAGACTTATGACCAAGAACTCGGTAAAAGGGAATGAAGCTATATGTATAACTAATGTTTAGTTAATTTTTAGTTAATGTTTAGTTAGCGTTGTCCTACTGTATGAGTACACTTCCAGTACTGTTCCATTGGCTCCAGGCTGATGTAATAATCTGTGATAGACCTTTCCAAATAGAAGCAAATTCTACACTTTGTTCTGCTTTGTGATGGGTCCAGCATTGTTACAACAAGCAAAAAAAGGTCACCTCTGTCATCTTTAACTCAATTTGCATTGGTGGTGCTGAAATATGAAATTGGAAATGATTGTATGCTCATTGAGGCTCATCTACAAAATATATATTTGGATTTTGAACAGATTTGGGACCATTGATAATTCACATTCCAGTCACTCGAAACGGCTAAAATACCGGTGAATGTACAATGCATAGAACATTTGGTCAGTATTGGATTTGTGACACACTGGTGTTACATGTGTATTGGCTCTCAAGGAAGTTCTTCAAGGCAACAGAAGGCAAACTGAGGTATTATATTATTGTTATTATTTCTAATCAAGCAGCCAAGTACCCCAGTAAAACTGTAATGGTTACAACTGGAGTTTGTGTGTTAAACAGTGTTAGTTGTCAGTCATTGAACAATGTAATCAAAATCAAACAAAAAAATCTGTTAAGAAGGGTGAATTGTTCAAAGATTTTTTTTTTTTACTGTGACACTATAGTGACAACAAAAAAATATCATATTTGAGAAAATGATACAAAAGTTTCCTATGGTACAGTGATATGCTGCTCTTGTATATATGTTAATTACTTACCTTTGAATCGCAGTCACTATGTTTACAAACATATCCATCTATTTGTCGGCTAATCAGATGTCAGCTTGTGGAGGGGCTTGTTTTAAAACAATGTACAATTAAACAGGCTGGGGGGGGAAAATAAATATGTTTTTGCATTTGTTTAGATATTATTTTTTACATTAAGAAAAAATATATTTTGCAGTGGGCTAGAGAATAAGTGAGTGCTTTTTTTGCACAAGTTATTTATTTTAACGTCTTTCTTGACATCATTGTATTCTAATGTAAATAAAGAGAAGCAGTATTAACACTGAAAGGATTTTTTCTGTACTTGGCAAAAGGAGGACTTTTATTCTGGATATATTCATGTAAAAAGGTGATCAGTAAATCATGACGTACAATATTTGTTCCCCAAGTTGACTGACATATAAAAGTCATTCTAATCATCAGATTTTGGGTTTAATTATGAATTAGAAAAGGGAGTTTTATTAACTGAACAGGAGCAGGCAAACGAACGAGAGCAGGAAGGGTTAAAGCAGGAAGGGGAGTACAGGGAAGGACATGGAGACACAGGAGGTGCATCGTCAGTGACCGTACTGGGGATGACAGCAGGTACTTAAGTACAAAGACTAAGGAGGTGCAACAAGCAACAGGTGTGGCTCCTCAGGGCCACGTTAGGGAGGAGACAGGAGAGACAGGCAGGACCCTTAAAAGCTACAATGAAGCATGTATTCATCGGGATTATAAATACAAGCAGTTCAGTCACATTTTTTCTTCCCTGACTTTCTCCTGGAAATCAAATTAAGGACTAAGAACAGGTCCAGTGAGGTCATTCTAACGTTTGTGCCCTGGGTGACCCTAGCACACGCAGTGCCGTTTTATTGCTTAACGCTTGAAAGAAATGTTCGGAACATTGTTACCAACATGCCGTAAGCATACATTGTTAAAGGGGCTCATAGCCTTATTTGCGTAACCCCAAGATGCTGGTTTGCAGCCAAGGATAAGCTACATTCTGCCAGGCTGATGCCATTGTAACCTGTAAGTCACTCACTGACAGGAAACATTGTTGGACAGTTCTGCCGGATTATTATTTTTCTTTATTTTGTGTTCTGTCCAAAATCCAGGAAGAGTCATAAACTATAGCTCAATAGGTAACTTCTTTTGTGTTATATATACATATATATATATTTTTTAAACTTGTTTAAACAAGCGTTGGCGGCTGCTTTGACTGAGCCAATTTTATTTTCACATCCTTGCGCTCAAACAAATCCGATTACTTATGACTATCGGAAGCAAAACACATTGAAATTCTACTAGCACACATTGCCATTTAACCTGTCTGACACTATCTCTGTCACATCTGGGCCACCAATGACAATACTGTGCTGGGTCACTGGGGCGGGGGGGTATTACAGGAACGCGCAACCTTCAGCTTTTCATGTGTCTCAGTGTTTGACTGCCAATGTAGGGATCAAATTAATTTCAGGATATAATCTAATCAGGTCCAGACAGAACATCTTCCCGTTCGTCCCAGGTCAGCCGAATTAATTGAGAATTGTGTGAAGGTGTCTTGTTCACGCTCTTGTTCAAGCTCTGGTGGTGTCTGAAATGAAACAGCATGTACATAAAGTGTAAAATGTGCTCTAATTTGAGATGTTTGAAATGTGGTGTATATTATTACAGTATTGCAGCACATTAAAGATCAGATTCAATCTCCGCTCCCTCTGGCAAATCCATTCTGCTGTAAAACAGATTTTCTGTGCTAGTTAGCTGAAGATGTTCTGGATATAATCGGTCCATGGTGAACCAAATTAGCATTCAGCATTTTGTGCTTTATTCCTCTTTGTTGTAAAATAAATATTGTCTGTACCATGGCAACCTCAAAACGCTAGTTAGCGTAATGATTGATACAGACCCAGATACCTGTATGGAAGGTGGTGAATATGACCGCAATAATGAAATTAAATTTCTCGAATGACTGCATGATTTAACATCATTGTGTTTGTCTAAATTTTTAATGAAAATTATATACAGGTCAAACTTTTGTTATGGATTATGCGATTGTCATTACCATAGCTACTTTGAGCAGATGTTTCCAATAGTTAATATTTTAAAAGATATTTTTAGAATAATATATATATATATGGTTTAATTCTGTTTCACCTAATATTATAATTAAGATTACATTTAGTTTACCCATTGGGGCCTACGTGTCACTGATGTGTTGAATATACTATTGCAATATGCTCACATCTTGCCAACATACTGTACAAACACTCCCCTTTTCCAGGATACTGAATGGACTATTCCAATTTCTTGATCATTGTTTTCACCTGTGCCCTGTTACTTGTTACATTTAAACCCCTGTGCTCTTTCTTTAGCTGCAGAGTTTCTCGTTCAGATTATAGTCTGAAAATTACTTCTGGGTTATCATTTGGATTCTTACAATTTACTCTGTAGCTCTTTCTGTGTTAAGAAAGACTTTGCCATGGATAAAGACCAGAGTTAGTAGGCTTAAACACTGCCAGTAGGATGCAAGTTTTGTTGTTAGGACAGCAGCTATGAGATATCACCCAATCCTTAGATGGATCAGGATCAGATACAGACTACTGACCCTGACAAATTTAATTTATGGTCATAGATACTCCCAGGTTTGATGTAGTGTTAGACCTGCCACGATTCATGTCGTACAATCCTATTATCAAAAAAGCATGGAAATATTGACGCTCATTCAGCGGCTGTCATTGCCCAGTTGGATTCAGTCGATGGGTCAGTGGGTAGTTTCTTATGATTTAATGCTTCTGAAGATGTGCAGTAATTGCCTGGGGTTAGGAATACCTTACCCAGCGTTTCACTCTACCTGCATGATCTACAAGCACTGAGAAATCTAATAAGTCTCCCCAAGTATCAAGACGTGTCTCCTTTGTCTGTGCCTCAGACATGGAAAGGTACATTCGGACAGCACTGGGCAAAGGATTAATCCAGCCGTTTACCTCTCCTGTTACTCCCAGTTTCTTATTTGTGGAGCTGAAAGCTGCTGATCTACGCCCATGTATCAAAAGAAGAGAATCACAGTTAAATGGTATGATTCATAGTCCTGGTTCCAGCAGCCCTCAAACAACTAAGGGGAGCAAAGCTTTCAAAACGTTAAATATACGAAGTATGGATAATCTGATACAGATTCATGAAGGGGATAAATGGAAGACCAATTTTCAGTGCCTATTATGAATATCTGGTGATGCCTTATGGGCTTGTAAATCCACTTCTGGTATCTCAGGCTTTCATCAGCTGGGTTCTGCATTAGTACCAGGGGAGAGTACTTTTTGTCTACATTCATGATATATTAGTCTATTTTGGCCTTTTCAAATGATTATGAAAGCCAAGTCCCGTTTCTCTATAATACTCCTGAAGCTTGCCAAAAATCCATCCATCCATCCATCCATCCATCCATCCATTATGTGCTGCTTATTCAGGGTCGGGTTATGGGGGCAGCAGTCTATGCAGGGATGTTCAGACCTCCCTCTCCCCAGCCACCTCCTCCAGCCCCTCCGGGGGAATACCAAGGCGTTCCCAGGTCAGCTGAGACATATAATCTCTCCAGCGTGTCCTCGGTCTGCCCCGGGGCCTCCTCCCGGTTGGACATCCCAAAACACCTCCCCAGGGAGACATCCAAGAGGCATTATAGATTGATGCCCGAACCACCTCAACTGGCTCTTTTCCGTACTAAGGAGCAGGGGCTCTACTTTGAGCCCCTTCCAAATGTCCAAGCTCCTCACCCTTTGTCTAAGGCTGAGCCCAGACACCCTGTGAAGGAAACCGCTTGTATTCTCAGTCTCATTCTTTCGGTCTCTACCCAAAGCCATAGATGAGGGTAGGAACATAGATTGACTGGTAAATCGATAGCTTTGCCTTCCAGCTCAGCTCTGTCTGATCCTCACCCTGGCTGCTTCACGTTCAGCTGCAAACCGCCCCACTGCATGTTGCAGGCCCCGATGACGCCAACTGGACAACATCATCTTGAGGTCCCCAAACCGACCCCTCCACTTCTAACCAGTGCCTTGAAATTCTATTCATAAAAGTTATAAACAGAATTGGTGACAAAGGGCAGCCCTGACAGAGTCCAATCCCCACTGAGAACAAATCTGACTTACTGCTGGCAATCCAAACCAGGCTCTTGCCACAACAATGGACCCCATACCCCATACTCTTGGAGCACCTCCACACAATTGTATTCCTTTTCCAGGTCCAGAAAACACAGGTAGACTGGTTGGGCAAACTCCCATTACCCCTCCAGTATCCTTGTGAGGGTGAAGAGCTGGTCCAGTGCTTTGTGACCTGGACAGAATCCGCATTGTCGCGCCTGTATATGAGATTCGACCAACAGACTCCGTTCCAGTATATTTACTCTAAATGTAAGGATAATATTAAGTAGAATTTTATGATTGTTTATCTAACCGAACAACAAGGGAGTGACTATAGTATGGAGGAACCATGTGAATAGTACACAGGAAGGTCTTTTTAATTATGCTCTCTTAGACTATCCTGATAATCAAGTTCTCAAGTTTTTCATGTGTTTGTTTCAACTTGAAAACTGCTTTGGTAATATGAAACTCACATTTCATCCAGATTCTTTATCATAAACTTACAGAGAGGTGTGCCATTTTTCATGATGCATGATGCATTTTTTTTTTAGCATTTCCCCGAATCCACTTTGATGCTGCGACTGGTGCAGAAGTTGCAGAGTCGGTACTTTAATGTGGCCAAGGGGTGGTGTGCTGTGAAGCGTCAGACGGTCGTCGGCAAATATCGAGGGGGGGTGCCGATATTGTGGCTGGAGCAGCTGCAGGCTGCTGCTTTGATGGATGGTGAAGGTCTGTTACGTGCTCGTTCTTGGAAAAACCTCGGAGTGTTTACCGTGTCCCCCATGTCAAACTTCTCAGGGGGGTGTCGAGACAGCCTGGGTAGCTATCACAAATAAAGTGTGTGTTTGTAAATTTTTCAGTGTGATTGCTGCAAATGTGCCAAGGTTTCCGTCTATACCTCTCTGAGCTGACGTTAATGTATATTAGTGCAAATGTTGATTTGACAAAGTTTGTTGGTGCAGTTCAGGTCGGTCTGGTATAATTGATTTGCAGAAAAAGTACTTCAAAATGCCAGATGAAATATGGCATTCGACATCAAAGAATGTAAAACCACGAGGGTGTACTGGTAAACAGACTTTGTGAGTTACAGGTTTCCGAGTGAACATTGGTCGCTAAGAGATCCCAGATGTTTCAGGCCTTCCAGAGCTTGACATGTCACAGCTTGGACATAGGGCCTGGATACCTATAGCTATGTCCTACAGGACTTATGCAAAGAAGGCAGCGATATTTCCTTTTTAGATTTACTGGCTACAGTTATTCGTTACTTAATCTCCTTCTGCACAATGTCTGACCACAAATACAGTAGATCCAAGGTCCCATAAGTTGGGACACAGCAGACCTAAATGGTCATAGTAGATCACGTGTAGCTGTAGTAAACATAGTGATTGTCGTGCCAGCTTTATAATGGTACAGTTTATATCCAACTTATAATACTCATAATCCTTCACAGCAATAATAAACATGTACAGCCGTGGAAAAAATTCAGAGACCACAGCACAATTTTTTGTTTCACTCATTTCTCAGTTTATGGGTGCGTGTCTGTGAATAATATATATTTCTTTTGCAAACTTCAGCCTGGTTCTTCCCTGTTTCTCATTAAAGGGCTTCTTCCCTGCTTTATGGGTCTTCAGTCCTGCTTCTAGGAGCCTGATATGAACTGTCCTAGCAGTGCACTTCACACCTGCACGTAATGTTTCCCGTTCCTTTTGAAGGTCACCTGATGTCATCCTATGATTCACGAGAAACTGTCGGATGAGTTAACGGTCTTCTCAGGCATTAGAAAGTCGCTTCTGCCCTTTATCTGGCTGGTTTCTGGTCATTTCCAGTATCTCCTGCTTCACCTTTTGAACCTGGAAGCATCTTGCTGCTCAGTGTCGCCTACTGCCAGCAGAACCACAATTAAACCAGGATTTTAAAATTCTAATTTGTTTAAAAATATAGTGGTCTCCTAATTTTTCCGCAACTGTATGTTAGGCATTTACTTTACTGAACTTTTTTAAATTGTGATTTAAACGTGTACTCTCTCCTACAGAGACAAAGTTTACTGCATAACACTTTGATTTGTCATGCAGGAAGCTGCTTCTCGTCGAGTGTCCCGCATCTCTTGAGTGCAATAGCATATCTCTCGGTTACATTTTATCTTGTGAAATCAAGAGCATGATAACTCCCAAGCTCCACCCTTAGCTTGTGATGCCAGTAATATATGAAGGAAAATTACTGACTTGAAAACGAAACCGAAAGTGACACACGAAAGTGAAACCGAAGTAAACAACACGAAGGCTATTTATACAGTGGAGTACAGGTACAGTATACTGTAGGTGCAGTATATCATGTAGGTATGGGATGAGTATGTATGGTGTTCACATAGCGTCCGACTCACTTATTGGACAGAACATAACCTGGATGTTAAGGGATCCATACCTGTAATATCAGTTGCATTCAAAAACATGATTGTATGTCCCAATGCACCTTCTGACTCCTAAAGGTTTTTCAATCATTGACAGCTGAAATTTTGTATTTTGAGAATTCGACATTTGTACTTCATACTATTATAACAGCAATCTCCATTTAACAGAAAGAGGTCTTCATTATAACCCTTATCATTTGACATAATGTATCTATTGAAATCCCATTAGATTGGGATTTCAATGGGTACAATACCGAGATCCTTCCACTAATTTGATAACTGAAATAATGTCAGTGAATGTATTTGAGAGAAAATAGAAATGAACAAGGCAGTAATTGATGCTTTCAAGTGATTTGAATAATGTGCATAAAATTTTTCCAGTGTGATACTGCTTAACAGTTTCATTACCAATACACCTAAAATGTTGCAATGCTGTGTTAGATACTGTAGTTCTGCAATGTGTTTTTTTTATTTTATAGGGATAGATTTTGAGAAAATTGACCTTTCTTTGCAAGCTCTTTTCTAGGACACTCCCTGACAGTTTAATAATTGCCTTTTGAATCTGATTCACAATGTTAAATTCAAATTATGAGCACATTTCCCCATTGTAATAAGTTGTGGTTACTCTCATAATTAAATTATACATGAAGCTTTAATTGGCAGTCTTGTTCCCCTAGAAATAAAGAATATATTTAAGGCCAATTATGTGGCCAATCGTAACAAAAAGATGACCTTAGAATCCTATTATGGATGCCAGTATTCAGTAAATAATTATGACAAATTTTTCAGACAACCCTATTGTTATGTGCTGTGCTGATATGCTTAATTTTTTTTTTGTATGAACTCACACTTTGTGTAATATCATTCAAGTCGATATTTTCATGATACAAAAAGTTATATTTAAAAATAATTAGTGATTGTAATATATTACTGTAAGTTATATATTGTGTGTGTTACTATTTTCCCCAAGTTTACCGAATAATAATAATAATAATAATAATAATAATAATAATAATATATAAATATGGATACTTATTGATGATTATCCAGGATAATTATGTTCAAAATGACAAAATCCTGACTGTGCAACACTTTGCCAAGCTCAATATATAGACGTAGGTGTCATTATTTGCTTAAATAAACACTGGCTTAGTGTCTTGACTGTTTAACAGGCAGATGGGATTAAACTAGATTGTACCTGTCACACACACATAACACAGTTAACATTTTTTCCATTATTGCTCACACATCATACATACTATAGGCTACCAATTCAAAATATATTTCTATGTATTTTCTAGAATATTATTCTGCTACTACAAATGGTCTGCTGTGTTACTTCAGAGAAAAGCAAACATAAACGCTACGTTTCTCCCGTTTCATTCATTCCATCTACCCTAAGAATGTGTATCCTAAGAATGTTCCATCTGTAATGGTTGGCATAAGGTGAGGAATTATTCTATTGTAGGACATAATGTAAATAATGTACACAATGTGAAGATAAAGCACCGCTAGCCTGTACATCTCCATTCTCTGTGCTCCTGAAAGCTTATCGGCGCTTTATAATAGCTACAGCGATGCAAACATATTGAAATCCCTCTGTGTTTATCTTATGTTAATAAACAACCAAGGCGAATCCTTTGTACTTTTCATATAACTGACAAACTGACGGTCTGTGCTGGTAAGACATTTATTGATTATAGCCTTGACAATAATTCAGAGTGTGAAATATCTCCTTTAACGTTATCTGAGGCTGAAATGCGGTGGAAGCCTTTTCTCCAACACTGATAGGAGAAAAGGGCATTATTGGAAAAGCGATGCTACAGATCTATTAGGCTGTTAATCGCTTCTGCTCGGATGGCTTGGCAATAAAGGGAAGCGGGGGACAGAGTAATTAGGAACATAGACTCATGACCTAAAGCTTGAGGTTTCCAGTCAAGGGAAAGAGCCTTCCCATGTTGTCCTGAATTAACCCGGTTAACATCCAAAATTATGAAACTGCAAGCTAGCCTCTTTGGATAAACACATTTCTTTCAGTAGCTAAGCGAGATCATGTGAAAATAAAGGAAATCCACAATCCCAAATACCGTCCCGGTGTGTGGTTACGGAGCGATTTTTGCATCATTCTTCACTTCTTAATACCCACTTTCTTGGTAGTGTTGGATTTCCTACCCTGTGTTTACAAACTGTCGGGATTTTGCATCGGTTTATTTTTCCAGCAGTTTTAAGCAATGGTATTTTGGGTAAACTGGGAGGCTGAAGAGGGCCTACGCTTCTGAAATTTCCCAATCTGTCCTGTGGTTCAGATTTCCCTGCCACATGGGGCACGTAGCAAAACAGAACATGGCTACTCCAGCCACATTTGGACTATGTATCCACACTTCCTCGACGTTGTGCTACGAAACACTTCCTCTACTAGCCCGATGCCTCCCTATGATCCCTGAATGTTCTTAACGTAATAGTCTTACAGGGTTTGTGCGTTTTTTTTTAGAAGTTATTGCGTAGCTTCTTCACAGCACGTGTGTTTGTAACGTGATATTCGCCTCGCTTTTACATCACGTTGGACAAAAGCTTCTGCTAAATAAAAATAATTGGAAATGGAAATCTCCCTCTTGCTCTCCCATCCGAGTGAATTCCGGTTTTGTAAATGGATATTTAAGTGGATAAATGTGCTTGTGAAGAGCCCTACTGCAGTGATCCACCTGGAATAGATGTGCAAAGTCTATATCCTTAAATGCAGCTCTGCCGTTGGTCAGGTAATTGGCTTGCCTGAGCGGACCCTAGGTCGGCACCCTAAGGAGGACCAAAGAACCGACGGATATTCTGACCTTTGGCGCCTTCCTTAATTGTTACGCTTGTGAGCCGTGGACGGTGCTTGAGTCTCTGCAGGAAGCTCAGTGTTGCTTTCCAGTTTTTGCAGGAAAGTGGCATTCAAGAGTCCTCAACATAAACGGTTACCCCGGACGCTAGATTTCGTATTACGTGAAAGACATTTCGGTGAATTGCGATGAGGCCCTTTAAGTGGCGTTTAGAAGACTGAAGGACAGCATCATCTTTAAAACTAATGTGATGACTAACCATCCATTTCATTTCCCTCAGCAGAAGCACTGTCCAACTTCTGAGTCATAGGACTGACCTACATTTAGGATTTCATTAAAATAAGTTCAAAACGGTCCTTTGAAATGAGCTGTGGACGCTGGAGGTTTTCAAATACATTTTTTTTAATCAACTAAACATTTTAAACCTGACGTTCAAATCAAATAAAAAGCAATTTGTGTCACTGTCACCAGGTATTTACATCATGGATACGTAAATTGATTTACAACTTGTGTGTTTGTCAACATACATCTAAGAGCTACGGCATTTCCTAGGGAACATATAAAATGCAGTGTCTATAAATGATATTTAGTTTTTTACTAGATGTTAAGAAATGTATAGTGAAAAAATAGTCTATAGAAATGGCATATCGCATTCCTGTACGGCTCATTCACAGCTGTGAGAGAACAAACTGGAAAGTACCTCCAGATCGTCGATTCAAGAGTAAATTGCTTTAAAAAGAAATGACAATCATATTGGTCTTCTGTGGCAATATCATCGTGGACAAGGTGCCCAGGACTGTCCGCTCTGTACTGTACATAGCACGTGTCACTTTTTCGCAGTGTCTTTTTTGGCTCCTCCCTTAGCCCCGCCTTTACCAGCATCCTTGGCCCCGCCCCCTCCTTTGGCTCCTCCCTTAGCCCCACCTTTACCAGCATCCTTGGCCCCGCCCCCTCCTTTGGCTCCACCCTTAGCGTTATCCCCTCCTTTGTCGGCCGCTCGCTTTTCTCCCGCCTTCTTGCCTTTTTCTCCGCCTTCTCCTTTCTTCTCATTGCCTTTGTCCCCTTTCTTTTTGGTGGTTGCATCGTTGGCGTCCCCTTTCCCCTCTTTACCCGCCTTTCCCTCCTTCTTGTTGCCATCTTTCTCCCCCTTCTTCTCCACCTTCCCAGAAACACTGGGCACTTCGGTTTTTTCCTCAGCAACAGCAGCTGGAAGGGCGCAGGAAAAGGGAAGAAAAACACAAAAAACATTCAAGCGTTTTCAGTATTAGTTGCATTCGTCTCTCTTTCACCTGCTTAACCAATCCAGAGTCTCAGGGGTGCAGTAGAGGCAGCCATAGCTGGCAGAATCAGGGCCCCCTGCCCTTCTCAGGGACCCTTAGGTATTTAAAATTGAGCCCAGAACTTCTAGCTATTCCCCTGATCACAGGGGATGGATGGTGGCTGGAGTTTTCCAAGCAGAACAGGACACAAGGCTGGGGTACATCCCAAATGGATAGTCAGTCCATCACAAGGCAGACACAGAAAGAGCAGGCGATGTCGAGATGTCGGTTTCCTTAACAACACGTCTTTGGACCGCAAGCGGAAACTATACAACCTGGAGAGAACATGCAAACTCCCAAACCCAGGAGCTGTGAAGCAACAGTGCTGCCTATTGGTGAACATTAGTTATGTGCATTAAATGATTAGAAATGAAATATGTAACTGGCAGGACACAAATGCAGTATTAAAGTAACATTCACAGAGGCAGGTACACATTAAGACAAGCTCCATATTTAGACTAATTTAATTAGTTTTAGACTAACTTAATAAGTTTCCAGTCTGGGAAGGTCCCCAGGATAAACAAGCAAGAGGGGTCGGATTACAATTTCCATCCCATCAAGCGTATGACGGATTATAGCTGAAGAATCTGACCCTGTGTATGAAGAGTAAATCACCAGTGTGGCTGATTAGTAGGTAACTGTAGCGGTCAGTCCAGTGTTACTGATACTGAATTTAAACATCAACTGTCCCAGCTACTGTATTTACATCATCTATATAGATGCTGCTCGTTCACAACTACAGACAATCAATTACAGATGCATTCTTTTTAAAAGAGGATATTTTTCATTCCAGAAAGGATATCCTGTTCTTTATGCCGATCATGAGGTGAGTATACTTTGACTGTTTAAGCTAAAAAACACCTAATTCAGATATGTTCCTCTGACCGTTACCATGCTCATCCCATGAGTCATGTGAAGTGCATACTGGACTTTAATTGGCTCTAGGATGGACTTGGAAATGTTGTATAAATCTAAACAATCAGCTGTAAATATTCCATCCATGTAAATATTCCGTACGCCTAATACATTCACCGCAGTGTTTTGTAATATAGTACCGCACTTGCTCTCCGTTCAGTTCTGCAAAATTGTGAATGGTAAGCCCAAATGTTACTGGTGTCCCGAAAATTAGAAAGTAAAATATGCATAGAAATCAGTAATCCTCATCTCAGTGTCCTCTGAACTGCGGAGCATGGGGTTTAAATTAAGCGTAATTGAGTTCATGAGCTGATACGCAGGTGTGTGAAACAGGAGAAACACATAGCAGGATGAGGAACAAGCACTTAATTCTATTCCAGTGGTCTAGTTTATCTACAGTCGACATATTTCTGGAATCTCTGTCGCCTATCAGTTTGAGCGTTTGCACACAGTGCTACACAGACATCTAACGGGGAACCAGCACGCGGCTTCCATCGTATCGCCTGCCCGTTTAATGATGGAAAGTCACTAAGCAGTCATAGTAGGGAGTCTTCTGGCACTTCCAGGCACCAACCGATGCAAAATAAGACATTTGGGGCAATACCCAGCATGCTTAGCTCGCATGGCCAAGCTTTATTTACCAAGAAGTTTAGCGGAGTTTGTGAAAACAATATGCATTCAGGGGCCCCAGCTGTTATACTGCAAGCGACTGAAAGTCATAAACACAAAATTAATTCTGTCTATGTCTGACCTGCAACACCAACCTACACCTCTTTCCCTGCCTGCTACACCCTGATCCACTCACAACACGCCACTGAACTGAATCTAAGACCATACACTTTGCACCTTGCATGTTGTTTACACTTTATGTACATTGTTCTGTGTATAAATAAGACATCCTTTATACTGTATTTAATCTGTACTGGTTTGATCTATTGTATTGTAATGTACCAGAGAGGCACCAACTACCAGAAACAAATTCCTTGTGTGTGCCACACATACACTTGGCCAATAAACCTGATTCTGATTCTATGTGACCTGAAACTCAAGATTTTTTTAAATTGTTGTTTTATTCTGACTGTTTAAGTTTTCATTATAATAAGAGATGAGCAATACGCATTTCAGTCAAGGCGAATCTTCGTAGGTGACCTTTGACAGCATCCAGAGATACATTCCCACATATATTCTGTAGGACGGTCACTGACTCTGCCGAAGACACTCTGGATAGACCAGAAAAACATTAAAATATGAATCATTCATATATACATTTTAAAGTCCTATTCTCTCACTGGGCTTTTGAATTCAAATGTCTTAGCGAGGGGAATACCGAGGTGAGGTACACACTTTATCTGGTTGACCTAGCCAATAGCAGGTGGGATCTACTTTTGCCTCCAGGACATTTTCAAGGCTAGATAAGCTTGTGCATTCAGAGGAGCCTCTTTGCATGCCAGCATCGCAATGAGCTGTTACTTTTATACTTGTGACCTTCCTCTCCTGACCTGTTTTACCTATGAACTACAGTATACACACAATAGTGATTGTAAATCCCAGGAAGGTGTTTTCCTCAGACGTTGGCACCAACAATCCAGTGTACCTGTATATAAAGAAAACATACGACGAAAAGGAACCAATACCTGCAAAGCTCCATAGCTTTTTATAATGGATATAGAGACAACACGTTTCTATTAACAGACAATCAAATGAAATATAATAAACAGGGGAATGTAAATAGCAATCTAACGATCATGTTAGTCATTATTCAGATTTTATAAATGTGGTGTTTCTCATATGCAAAGAATCATTCACACTAGAATAATGTTGCAAGGTAGTTGTTTTAGTTTGTCTTGCATATTTATTTTAGTTTTAATCCAGGGTTTATATCTGTTCTGAAATCACATTTTCCATTTTTTATTTTTTTTTTTAAGTGTGATTACCGGTTCCCTGTGACGTTAACCACAGCAAGATTAATCAAGGTTTGCTTTGAGGCTGATTTTCTGGTGGGATCTTCAGGCCTAAGAATATGATGTAGCGTTTCTCAAAAGTGACGATGATTTTCCCAGCACTAAGCAATTATGTACGCAAACATGCAGAAGTGGAATTTAAAGGTCATATTTTCAGACTTGGAATGTTCTTTACTCCCACCCCCACCCCTCTCAATACTTGAAAGTTACTTTCTTTGAAATTGTCAGTGGTTTTAATGGATTAGCCTCCGCATGAAGACAATTGCACAGTGAGCTGCAGTTTGACCCCTCAGCTAGAGACAGGAATATATTGTTAGGCATTGTTTGTGTCAGGGATGTCGAAAATCCACTCATTTCCTGGCACAGAATGCTACGGAAAACGTCATGCATAATCCTCGGGTTGCGCTTGTGTCTCTGCAGAATGCCTTCGCCCAGCCAGAAGAAGCCATAGATGTTAGTATGCCCCTCACACACCCCACGGGGGTGGATACAGAGTGCAAACAGCCACGAAGCTGTGATCCTGAAGGGATCCTGGGTCTTACCTAGCGGCAAGTGTTTCCCACGGGATATGCAGCCTCATTGATAGCACAAGAAACGTCAGCAAAGGCTCTTGCTAATGATGTACTGCAGCATCAAACGTAATCCATGCCTGTCAGGAAGTTAGACGCCGCTCTCCAATCAGCTTGGGCGTGATCTAGTCACTGGAGAGGTCGGCCCTCTGGAAGCACTTTCAGCTTTCCTTCGATTGTATTGATTTACATCCAGAGCATTCTGGGATATACCAACATTGTGGGTGCGGGGGAGTGGCTAGACATCTGGGGCCCCCTGAAAAGATGTCACCTTGGGCCCCCTGCTCCGGTTGGCACTTTCAGTCGCTCAGTTGATTTTGCGAAGTCGGGGGGATTTTTTGGCCCTTATAAGGTGCAGGCCTCACTGAATTTGCCATGATATCCGAGCTCCTCCGACACCCCCCTGTGTTGGTGTATACTGCCAGAATGGAGAGTCCCGTTACGACACTATTTTGCACTTTTGACCTGGAGTGGGTTTCCCGAAAGCTTCGAGACATTGCAGTATGTCATCTAACACTTAAGATCGATCATTAATTAGCGAGGGTTTTTAGAATCCCTACGTAACTAAAGGAGTTCGTAGTCTTGCTTGTAAATGTGCGAGTGCTCTGAGCCAATGCTGATGACGATATAATAACATTTAGGTCAATGTTGCAATATAAAACTATAATGCAGGCTATAAATGCAGGATGCAAAATCGCAGTTCAAATTTGAATATAAGGAAATTCAATTAAAATAGAATTACATGAAATTCACACACATTGTGCAGGTACAGCTTAATATTTCAGTATGAATTACATAGCATGTTAACATAAACAGAATACACTGAATACTACCTCCAGTACTGCCCACAATCACAAAAATTTATGGCAGCAAAAAGTGACAGTGCCACATTTGAATCTTAACCCATAGAATAAATCATTTAACAGTTAATTTTTTTGAACCATTGTGGAAGAGAACTCTTTTAGTCATACAAGCAACCAAGAAAAGCTACTGCAGACTCTTCACAAATGATAACACACAAAAACAGTTAAAAAATATGTTGTGTGATGCTATTGAATTTCTTTGAATTGAAATGAATTAAATCCTTCCCGTCATTCCAATTCAAATTCCGATTCTACGTCTTACAGGGTGTAATTCAATTCAAATTTCAATTCGTGAATGGAATGGGGCACAATTCATAAATTCTGATCAACCCTGGTACATAATGGGGTAACCAATAATTCACAGAGAAATACAGGTTGGAATTTGGCCCTTAGTCCCACTGTGTAGCTTCTGACGGCCCTCTGCTTCTATGCCACTGATAGATTCCTGCAGACTGTCGGTGATGCACATGGCCTCAGCGAGGCTGCTGTGTCCGAATCTGTGCATTGACCACATTTCTGTTGCACCACTACATACAGTACAAGTTCCAGCTGGAGGGGGATGCCTTGTATAACACTACAGTTGGTTTTCATGCAATTGCATCATACCTGGCATTATAGGTGCAGTGGATGGAACCCTCAACCCTATTCATATTTGCAGCCCCTTCAATCCCACTTGAATCCCATTCCCTGTCGAAAAGGGTTCTGGGCACTAGGCCTCAATGTCCGGGTGATATGCAGCCATCAAGGGCATTTTACAGACATCGTGACCAAGTGGCCTGGAAGTGCACGTGATATCTGGTCCAGCTTTGGAGTGTGTCGGATTTGCTGGTGGCTGGTTATTCAGACATCAGGCATCCTCCTAATGGATACCTGCTGACTGGGGGGAGGTGTAACACCACACACCAAAGAACACACACTGCTGTACAGCGTGCTTTGGGTGTGTGAAAGACGTGCAGCTCCAACGTTTCCCCCAGAATGCTGCTGTGCTGTTCCTGTGTCCAGTATGCTGCACAACATTGCAGTAATTATTGTCTTAAAATATATTTTCAGCCACCTCCTCGATAATTTGTTTTTCGTTGTTTTGCGTGTTTCTTATTGATTTTCTAATGAGTTTTTTTCCTTGTGAAATATATACATAGGTTATTAATTTATTTATTTTATTATATATTGTACAGTCCATCCTGTTATACACCGTGAATATGTTCTAACACAATCAATATATTAGTACTCAAGTCTAATACAACGTGAAATCGCATTTGTATTCAAACGAATTTCATTCGGAGAGAAAAGCACTACGCAAACTACAACGCGATATGGTCTTACCAAAAAACACTACTTGCATGCAAAAATAGGTATCCAGATAAACAATTCTCATGTCTGATTTGGGAATGAAACATTCGTTTGAACCGTTGCTTTATGGTACACTGGTCAAACTGGTTTTCAGGGTGTGATTTTTTTTTTTTGAAATAGTACAAAAGATTGAATCAATACACTAATAAGTTTAAACCTAACCTGTACAGACATGTCCAGTTAAGTGTGCTTTAAGGATTAAATTACAGTTTATTAAGAGAGAATGCGAAGGTCTTGCGAGGGAGCGGAAAACTGTTTTTTTTTTTCTTAATAACTTGTCTCAAAGTCATTACATAATATGCGTTAGACCCTTCTCCCTGGAGCAAGACCTGTAAGACAATATAGATATAATTGTCTGTTCATGGTGCCATTTAGTTTGATTTGCTGGTTTACTAAAAAGCCCATTGTCTGAACTGCCTTATCCGGATCATATTTGATGTAAGGAAAGCAAAGAAGAGCCGTAATGGGATATTAAATCATTCCCACTAAACTTTTCCCTCTAAACCATTACCTTTCTTGCCTAATTAAGAGTTTGAAGCTATATAATTTACATCCAGGAAAATGAAAAATACAGTTATAGAAAAGGGGAAAGAAGGGATTAGAAGCAAGGGGACATTCACAGGCTCTTTGCTGGCTGTAACAGAACTTCTAACAGGAAATGAAATGGAGATTATATTGGGAGTTACACACAGTCTCTCTGGTCCATAATCCTGTGGTGTACGGCTGTCGGCACGGCAACGGGGAGGGACAAAACACAGCAGAGCGGAAGAGTGCCGTCCAGCGTGGCATAGCTAGAGGCGGAAGTCGGCTCGTCCATCCAGCCAAAGGGCTGTCAGTCCCCAGATATTCAAAGGGACTTCGGGAAGCAGAGGGTGTTGCAGGACGAGGTAGAGGGAGGGGTAGGCGTTAGGAGAGAGAGGGACCAAGAAAAGGACACAAAAGATCAGGTTTAAGGACACAACAAAAGAGCTAAAAAGGGCATAATTTGTGTTGTTTCTGTATCCAGTGACTGTAGCTTGGATTACACTGCTTTGTTCCCTCCTACTCTTACTTTGTTACAGCCTAGATACTTGTAATTTGATTACCGGCCCCTTCGTCTTCTATGACTCTGCACTGACATAATGTGATTTGTTTGTATTACATCTTTGCCCGGAAGGACCAGGAAGATGGAGAGTTCTGTAAACATGCTCGGCCAGGATGACCGTCGGACCCTCCCACAAACACCGGTCTGGATGAGAGGGTGGTGGATGGATGTGAAGTAAAATATCAAGTAGTGCATGAAGACAGGAGGCCTGGGGATGACTTCTGGTCTGTGGAAGGTGGTTTGGTCTGATGCACTATTGATGTTATGGTATAGCTGTCCAAGTAGCCCTTCAATACCTCTAATGACCACAATTTCATTAGGGACGCAATCTCATCTAATGTATTTTCTGCATTTGTGTTTAGTAGTACTTTATTATAATTATTTGTTTTTATCAAGGCCCAGTTTCAAAGCACAGATAATCAGCTAGACCCCAAATGAATCAGTCTGGTTTGTACTCTTCTGTTTGCTTTTGAACAAATAGATTTGTAATAGCATACACAAAACAGCAGTACTGTGTAATTCTACTCCTTGAAATGCAGCTAATGAAACTCACCCATGTTATTCTGATTCCTCAGATTTCAATTAGTTCTAACCACTTATTCTTGGTCAGTTTGTAAGAGCATATTGGAAATAAGCGTAGCTAATAATTCTGTATTATCTACAACAATAATCCAGGCAGGACAGATACTGGTCGTCAAAATTATTTTTTTGCATTGTTAGTAACATAGTCCCTGACTTCAATATATGAATTTTCTTAATTTTTTAGTCCTATATTTTTCTGGATACACCCTGCCAGTGGTTTTTGAACCTGACAAATGCTGCTGGTTCATGAAAATTTGCTTAGGAAAAAAAAAAATCCCTGGATTTACACATATTTAGAGAACTTGGGGAGTGAAAAGTAATTCCAGAGCCATAAGGAGCGGGAGCGTGATGTCATTATGTGCCAGTGATTGAATCAAAACATTTCTGACACCTGGGAGTCTTTGCTAACAGCCGTAATTATACAGCACATCCTCATTAAAGTAATTACCTGTTCTGCTTTCATCAGTGAGCCATGACATACTTCACAGGCAGAGGAGAGTCATACAATGTAAGAAGAAACCTTTTATTTCTGTTTATCGCCGGCCACTTACCTCCAGGCACCTCTGTGAGCTCATTAAGTGGAGGCACTGTCTCCAAAGTGTCAGCGTATACCTTAGCTGCCTCTCTCTGGGCGTGCCTCGCCTCGATCTCTTTCTTGGTCCTGGGGATCCGGCATTTGAAGATGCAGCAAAGCGTTATCACTGAGGATAGACGTGGCAGGGCGATAGCAATTTGAATTTCTCATTTGGGTTTTATTTGTAACAAAACAGACGTCGGTAAATTAACTGATTTAGCGAACATTGAGGCTATCCGTTCATTAATTGCACCTATAACATGAAAGTGTATCATATTGGGCCCCCAACGCAGACCAATCGTATTATGTTCTAGATTTTTTAGGGCGCTTTGGAATCATTGTGTGTTCTTGCTGCTGCGTGTCCCAGAATTCCCTCCTGGGATCACTTAAGTGCATCTTAGTCTTAGACATCGGCAAGCAAAATAGCTGCTTAGTTAGCAAAGTTAGCGCAGTTGGCTACATTTATTATTCAAATCATAAACATTATTTCACCACAGAATTCAATCAAACTGGTTAATGTGCAACCCTTCAATATCACATTGACCTGTGACCTAACCGTCATTAAGTAAATATGATTAACATTACTGCTAGTATTATTAGGATATATAGGTCCTATATTTTTTGTGTTGTTTATTACCAAATCTATTTTGAATTTCATATTATATAAGCTGGCTTGCCCTCATTTAATTACATTGAATCCTAGTATACACCTCTAACAGTACATAGCTCTTGTATCTAAACTAACATATTTATTCATGTAATACTTGTTTAAAAGGCTGTTACTTACCTATTGCCAGAATAAACATGGAAAAAACTCCAATGACTTGCCATAGCCGCAGGCCCCAGAAAACAACGGTTTCTGAAGTAATGGGGTCCGGCTTCTTTGGGGGCGCGGTGCTGAAGAGCTAAGAAACACGCCGAGGTCAGCGAGTCACCTTGCGAAACTCTCGCAGCTACCGCAGTGTAATTTGGACAAATAGCTGCACTTAAAAGCTAGCTATTTGTGTTATCGTCTCTCTCACTGAACCGAGATCTTGGTACCCAAACGTTAGGCTGTTGTGCTGAGTAGAACCGCTTGTTATACATATGCACACTGATTTATCATGTACTATTACTGTGCAAAAGTCTTAGGCAACTAAAGAAATGTTTAAATGATCTTCATGTCGAAGAAAAACTATGCTGTTACGTTCAAAGTATGTTAGCTTAGCCGTTTCAGATCTTCTGCTACAATCATGCCAGTATTCGGAGTACAGATACATGCATTTTTTGACTCGACCACTGGCTCACCTTATATAGTTAATCAATATCTCATTGACTTTTTGTTAAGCAACTCAATTAATTCATTAAGCTAGCTGGTGGTGAAATTTAATAAATACATGGAATGGCTGAGGTGCCCCTGAGGAGAGGTTTGGGAACTAATTTTTGTTCTTACTAGTTTTTGTGTTGCTCTTCATTTGCATATGTTCTAAAGCTAAATTCTGTTTTTTGTTCTAAGCAGAAGTCCACTTACTACTAAGACATTTCAACTGTACTGTGTCCTTCTAAAATCGATTTGTTGGCTTTAAGTTCAAGATAAACTTAGATATGAGTTGATTGACATAATGGAAGTTCTCATATTCTCCCACAATGAGGCCCTGACATGTTAAAATAAGGCATCAAAATTCCCAATCAACACAATCCTGATGCTGTCTTTAAAATGATTGGAACCTGTCTGTGGAACCGGGGATCCACTCCTATGCAGGTAGAAGGAGCCTGAACACAAAAGCTAATCCGTTGTGTGCTGTATTGCCTTAGATAAGGGACACTGACTGCACTAAGTCCCCCCCCCCCACCAAATCTAATAAACATTCTGTCATGTCTTGCTTCCGATCTATGTCACTTGGCCTAATAGGAGCCTCAGATTGACATCCTCTGTGTGCAACAGCTGCTGCTGCTTTTGCAGAAACTATGATATGAACCACATTTAGATGACTTATTTTACAGGCGTTTTGGCTGCATTGATGGTGGATCAACATACTGTAACTGAGCAGAATTGAGCAGAGTGAACTTCAGTCGATAGCTGAATGATGTTTTGTCCCCATTCTGATGGCCCTTTGTATAGATACCATGCAACATTTGTGATTCATGGCATTGTACAATACGTACATAAATCTGTACTACATTCTCTTACATTGTTCTATATGCTATAACACTATTATATATAAGTTTTCTAAAGGGAAATATGTGACCGTGGCGAGACCGTCTGAGTCAGCTGCCCCAAACTAGCCTTGCAAGCACTAGTTTATCTATGAAAGATTCTGTCTTCCCTCAAAAACAAGACTTCAGGAGGCTGAATCATTTCATTTAAAACAAAAAGGAAAGTATGCGTGTCCAACATCACCACGTGAGACACTCGAAAATAAACACAAATATCAAAAAAAAAAGAAAAGAAAATCTCCACAGACTTTGCCGCGTTGTTTACATCTACTCCATCTTTCCAGAAGATTCCCAGCTTAGCTTAAACTGAGTGAGACCTTACTGCCCAGTCACGCACGATTAGCAAAATGAAATGAATCTGAAGCTGGCACCAGGGAGTTCCATTTCAGCGAAATAACTCCATCGCCATCGACTTTTCAATTATATGCGAGACGACAGACAGGCAAGCTTTTCCTGCATCAAGGAAGCTTACAGAGATAAATGCCGTCTTTCCGGGCATTACGGTTAAGTCTGTCCTATTTGGACTAAGGGGCTACATTCTGAAGCAACGAGGTAGCAGAACGTCCAAATTAAAGCTCTGCTTTCAAGCCACTTCTGAGTAAACAAGTCTAATTGTGTTACAAACAGTAACTGTTTATGTACTTCGGATAATCCATTGCCAGCCCCAAAGCGAATTTGCATACATTACATAAAAGCTGTGTGAACTGGAAGTAAAAATAAAAATAAATTGTAAAAGTCTAAAAAGATATGGTGTTCACATATGGCCCAGAGCATCAACAGCTCAGCCGTAAATGCCATTCCGTCATACTGTCCGTCATACCGTCCGTCATACTGTCCGTCATACTAGTGTCCTCATTATAATTTTTAAATGAAGAACTTCCAAAATATTTGTTTCCTATATAAACCATGTCAGTGGTGTACAGTGAAGTTAATTACAATAAAAGTAAATTAAAAAAATATATATTCCAGTTTTCAGAAACCTTTATGACCAATTCAGCATTTTATTTACTTGAATTCCTAGCCATCTGACAAGCAATTAAAAAAAATTCCTATCCATTCCCTCAATGTGACTTTCTAATCTAGTTCGTAGAGGCTTGAATGAAACCATTTTTTTTTGCCTCTTCTTTTAAACTTGACAACTTTTAGTTATGATTCATGTGCTTTTGTGACTAATTCATTTAGTTTCTGCTATCCGTTACAACACAACATAGCTTCCTTCCTAAGCAAGCAGAATTTCCCCTTCTCAGCATTTGGCAAACCTGTAGCACTTTCTGTGATGCTACTAGAGGCCCGTCTGTAATATTGACTCATGTATAAGATAGTTTACTCACAGATTCATGCACAATCACACTGCGGAGCCATTGTTTGTTTCGCGCAATGGGAACAAAGGTATTGAAGATAAGTAGAGAATGAAGTAACAGCTTCTCTGTAAAGGTGGAAAGTACATTTGTCCCTGTGTTTAAGTGCCTACGGTAACCGGGACCATCTTAAAGAGGCTGTGCACCCAGCTGTCGGTAACCTGATGATTCCCAGCCCTCGGTGACAATGACGAGCTCCTGCTTACCTCTGGGTCCGGGGTCTGAGGCACTGTGGTGCGCACGCAGAAGGATAGAAACGCCGCCAGCCATCCCAGAGCCGGCCTCTGCGGCTCCCCCCTCACCATTTCCTCCCCGGCTCTCTGCCGGACATGGACACCTGCCCCCTTGCTCTGTTTGTGCCCGTCCGCCGAGCTACGCACCGCACCCAGCCCGGGGGCTGGCCCGTCCGTAAGAGGCCATTAATTAATCAGCAAGGCCGGTGTCACTTACTCTGCCAGCCTCTTTCCCAGGCTCCTATGGCTGGGTGGGGGGGGCTGGGAACTGTATGCAAAGGGCCAGTTTTGGGGTAGAGCAGGAATGGGGACAGGAACACCGTCACATCCGGCTCATCAACAGCACCAGAACTACACTATGCGGGTAAAAGTGTTGGGACACCAGCCTTACCAACATCTTACTCTGAATCAAAGGGTATTAATACGAAGTTGGTATAGTCACCTGTACTCTTCTAGGCAGGCTTTCCATTAAATGATGGAACATTGCTGGTGGGATTTGCTGCCATTCAGGGTGATAAAGTCCCTTTCTCTGAGATGTTTGCACTTCATAATCACTTCACCTGAGGTTAACCAGGCCAGCTCTAGCAGGACAGAAATGTGGAGATCCGACTTGCTGGAAAGGCGTCCAATGGGGTCCAATGACGGTGCTGGGCTAAGCCGCCATTGGTTGATGCTGGAGATTACATGGCTGTGTGCTTAATTATTCACCTGTATGCCAGCAATAGGTGTGGCCTATGTGGCCAATTCCTGTAATCACTATAGGCGTCCCAATACGTTTATTCATAAATTGTACCTAAAATCTCTTCAATGTCCCTAGCTACACTAGCTAAATGCAATATGTAGCAATAAATAATATATAAAAATAAAAAAAGAACTAAATTTTTATTGATTTCAAGATAATAAGATTGCATTACCCTGACCAGGATAAGTGGTTAGAACAGTGTTTCTTGACCGAGTCTTGACGTTTTCGTTCCCTCCCAGCACATCTGTAACAGGTGTTTTTGATTGTTTGGTTCGATCCTGATTGTTTGGTTCAGTTATGCTGGGTGGGAGCAAAAACGTGGACTGTCTGGGGATCTCTGAGGAAGACTGGGTAAGAAGATAGATGGATGGATCTTCACAAGAGTCTGATCAACCGTAATTTATGAGAAGCATGATTTCATTGCAATACCGAGTTTCTTGCCCTTGGACTGAGTCACCAGTTATTGGGCCACGACTTGTCTGTGTATCTACAGCCGTGGCCAAAAGTTTTGAGAATGACACAAACAATAATTTTCTGAAAAGTCTGCTGCCTCAGTTTTTATGATGGCAATTTCCATAAACTCCAGCATGTGATGAAGAGAGATCGGATGAATTGCAATTAATTGCAAAGTCCCTCTTTGCCATGAAAATTTTAGGGAATTTAATCCCAAAAACCCATTTCCATTGTATTTCAGCCCTGCCACAAAAGGACCTGCTGACATCATTTCAGTGATTCTCTCCTTTACACAGGTGAGAGTGTTGATGAGGACAAGGCTGGAGATCCTTCTGTCATGCTGATAGAGTTAGAATAGCAGACTGGATGCTTTAAAAGGAGGGTGGTGCTTGAAATCATTGTTCTTCCTCTGGTAACCATGGTTACCTGCAAGGAAACATCTGCAGTCATCATTGCTTTGCAAAAAAAGGACTTCACAGGCAAGGATATTGCTGCTAGTAAGATTGCACCTAAATCTAAAGTAGAGAGGTTTAACTGTTGTGTAGAAGGCTTCAGGGCGCCCAAGAAAGTCCAGCAAACACCAGGACCGTCTCCGAAAGTTGATTCATCTGTGGGATTGGGGCACCACCGGTGCTCAGGAATGGCAGCAGGCAGGTATGAGTGCATCTTTACGCACAGTGAGGCGAAGACTTGTGGAGGATGGCCTGGTGTCAAGAAGGGCAGCAAAGAAGCCACTTCTCTCCAAGAAAAACCTCAGGGACAGACTGATATTTTGCAAAAGCTACAGGGATTGGACTGCTGCTTGCTGGGGTAAAGTCATTTTCTCTGATGAATCCCCTTTCCAATCATTTGGGGCATCCGGAAAAAAGATTGTCCGGAGAAGACAAGATGAGAGCTACTGTGTCATGCCAACAGTAAAGCATCCTGAGACCATTAATGTGTGGGGTTTCTTCTCAGCCAAGGGAGTGAGCTCACTCACAATTCTGCCTAAGAGCACAGCCATGAATAAAGAATGGAACCAAAACATCCTCCGAGAGCAACTTCTCCCAACCATCCAAGAACAATTTGGTGACTAACAATGTAAAGCAGCATGATTTTCCAGCAGGATGGAGCACTGTACCATAAGGCAAAAGTGATAACTAAGTGGCTCGGGGAACAAAACATCGACATTTTGGGTCCATGGCCAGGAAACTCCCCAGACCTTAATCCCATTGAGAACTTGTGGTCAATCCTCAAGAGGCGGGTGGACAAACAAAACCCCACAAATTCTGACAAACTCCAGGCATTGATTATACAAGAATAAGCTGCCATCAGTCTGGATTTTGCCCAGATAGTGATCGATTGACAGCATGCCAGGGCGAATTGCAGTGGTCTTGAAAAAGAAGGGCCAACACTGCAAATATTGACTCCTTGCATAAACTTAATGTAATTGTCAATATAAGCCTTTGACACTTATGAAATGCTTGTAATTATACTTAAGTATACCACAGAAACATCTGACAAAAAGATCTACAAACACGGAAGCAGCAAACCTTGTGAAAGTCAACACTTGTCATTCTCAAAACCTTTCACCACGACTATATGTTGTGGAGGACTATGTTGGTCGCAAGCCAATACCCCACTGGCCCAGTGCAAGTCTCCAAGCCTGCTAGACACTATGAAGAATTTGGTCTCCAAAGTGTGGTTTGAAGGGGCTTTCCCGTCATTTGTCCCAACCTGTTTTGCCACGCTAGCATAACTATGTCCCATTCCTCGAGGAGCCCGCTCTTCCACCCTGGCCTGGCAAAGCCTCCCTCGGGGGGCCCTCCACAGGCTCAACGTCCGATGCCAGGCCACGCTCTGGGATTCCCTGCTCTCCCCCTAATTGGAAGAGACACCCGTGGCCTGGTGCAGTCTGGCTTCCCGTGCCTGTTTCCATTCTCGCAAAGCCGTCCTGTCATTTTGGCGAGCTAAAAATACTTTAACTGGAAGAGGCACGCCTTCACCTCCGGACCTGTTGTCTCTCATGTGGCGATGATGTTTACACAAAAACAAAATGAAAACATCACATTTTTAACAAGAAGCACCATGAGGGCTGGTGTCCAGCCTTTAGCGTTGGATTTGTGTTTTTCTTACGTTATATTTTTCCTATCATTTAAATGCACCGCTTTTTTATTCATTTAAGAATTCATTTCTTTCTGATGGTCACACGGCGTCTGTGTAAAGATGCGGCTTCATAATTACCGTGTATTATGAAGGGCTCCTCCAAATCAATGGTGGATTTTAATGATAAATTTTAAAGAGAAAATTGCTACATGTTGTACAAGAGAGTCAAAAATATTATACTGTATTTGGGTAACTGCTAGGTACCAATGTTAACAACGTATTTACATTTTAACGGTTGCAATTTTATTTCAAATTTGGATTTCTCAAAAGGGTTTAATGTCACTTTTAACTTAAACTGTTACCTGATTTGATTTGCTATTTGACTCTTACAGGCCTATTCAAAATATATTTATTAAAAATTAAATTTCATATAATTTAAACTTTATTTAAGCATTTACAAGGAAAACTAAGCAAATAATCATTGTGTAGAATTGTAGTGACCCAGTATGAGAAAAGGTTAAAGACCTCAGTTAACCTAAGCAGTGACGTATCCGTGGGAACTGATCAGCCGCCCTGAACTGTCAAACGTCTCTGCTAATGAAGTCCAGCAGTGTTTGATTAGGATGCCGTCCTTATTAGGGTTTAAATAGGGGTGAGGGAAGTCTTTTTTTTTTTATGGTTGTCCGTTTAGAGTTGAGCTTTGAACTTAGAATTGTAGACTTTCATTTAATTTCATTTTAGCACTGTTGGCATTAGCGAGTGTTGAGGGTCATATTAAATTTCAGCCTAGCTGAATCCTCCAGCAAGTCGCTGTTTAAACTACCTCAGTTTACTTTGCCAGTGGGGGGGGGGGGCTACTGCTCTTTAGACTGCAATTATTCTTTTAATTAAAAATCCTTGGCGTTTCCCTGTGAGCTACTATGAATTTAGTCATTTTGAGCAAGTGTGCTGATTTAGACCTGCTGGAAATAAATGTTTAGTCGCATGCAGAGACACTTGTAGGGCAGGCAATACCAATAAGGAATTCTTCCCAGAGAAGATTCATTGTCTTCAGTTGCTTTTGCGAAGCGTCTGCAATAGCATGTGGTTTAAATTTTAAATATTGAAACTCCTTTCTGGTGGTGTAGATGTCTGTGGTATAATCTTATCCTGCAGAGGGTTTGTCAGGCGGTTGAGATGTCGTGTATGGTTTCCAGGCCATCTTATGGTGCGATGTGGATGCCTTAAATAAAGGACTCCGCCCACGGCTGGTATTGTCATGCCATATTCCACTGACCTTTTCATAAAAGCCTCCCTGTTTCATATGACACCAGACATGGTGTGTGTTTGCTGTTAATTTTGGACCATTAAAACCCCTGAAGCTGACCGCACACATTCCTTATCGAGAATATTTATTCAATTTGTTGAAGTCTTGCATTTATAACAACAAACAAAACAGAATAGAAAACAATATGCTAGTTGTAGGTTATTTCAGCATTCACACTTGGTTAGGAGCCTACAGGCTTTGTGAGTCAATGGTAAATGATGTGTATGTTTGGTCAAACCTTTAGCCTGTACTACGAAGGGGGGTTACTGCCTTATCGGGGTAACTTGTCGGATTTAAGGTAGTCTGGGCAAAATGTAAGCGAGCGAATATGAAGTCAATTTAAACTGTGGTACCTTAATTCCGACAAGTTAAGCCAGTAAACCCGCTTCGTAGTACAGGCCACGGGTTCAACTTCAATGTTTTAGCAATGTTACAGTCGTGATTCATATGGGAACCTGGGGTAAATTCGGCAACCTCAGACTCTCCTCCGTCTTATTTCCCTGTCAGACTGTGGGTCGCTTTCAATTAGTCTCCATGACTGAATAACTGCGCCCGTCTTGCCTGAGAAAACATGGCCTGTTCCCGGAAGGTTCACATCAAAGTTCAAGGAATATTAAAAAACACAGGAACAAAGGCTGCCACAAGCAAACACCCTTTACGTCCATTTTAGTAGCTAAATCTCAGTCATGGCTGTGAGACTAGCCAAGTCCGCCGCTAGCCGGCTACCTGCGGAGGGTCCTGTTTACGCGGCCGGCAATGTGGAATATGCTAACACGTAGATTTCCTTTTCGCTTCATTTCTCATGTTATTGATGTCAGGTAGACGCAGTCGGTCTGCGGCCTTTGGCCGCCTGACACAAGCCGCTGGTCGCTCGCTATGGAAACTGGTCTTTTACTCTCAAAGCGGGCTACAGCGCTGGTGCTAGCTGGGTGCTAGGGGCTCGCATGTCTGATCACAGGGAGGTTTGTTTTAGCACCTGTGGAGTCTGGGCCTGGCAGCTGCTGGACTCCTTATTCCTTAATGAAGATTCCCTGCTGGGCTGAAGTTTGCTCGTATTTCTAATATTGGAAAAAAATCTGGATCTCTGGAATTCTTCCATCTGAATATTGCCAAGAATTTAAATCGGGGGGGGGGGAAACTAATATAAGTTCTATATCTTTTATTTTAGAATTTAAATCAAGTACTAGAGTTAAACATTTGCTGTTTTTGTGTGAAGGCACTACTACCACTAAGGAATGCAGCAGACTTTACATCCTTCTCCCACACTATTTCTAGATTAGGGGTGTCAAACTCCAGTCATGGGGGGCCAGAGCCCTGCACAGTTTTTGGGTTTCCCCTCATTTAACACATCTGATTCAGTGTGTTAAGTCTCTGTACCTGTTATCCAAACATCACTAGTTTGAGTCGTGGCCTCAGCAGAAGGGTCACATGTCCGTGGGCCCTTGAACGAGGGCTTGGCAAAGAGAAGCATTCCAACGTACCAGAACTTTTGCAAATAGCAAATAAAGCGGGTTTGTCTGTCATTTAAGTTATGATGTTTTGTACTTCCAGTTTTAGGTACGATTGATTGATTTCGATTGCCTTCAGAGATCATAAAACAAACATTCTTGCATTTCAGTGTCATTACACCGTTTCATCATCAATGTCTCTTCATGGTTTGTGGGCCCATGTCGGATATGAACTTTCTGGTTTTGTCTGGGGGCTGCGAAACATTTTAGATAAAAGCTTTCAGCTACAAGTGGGCTTTCATAGAATATATATATGAGCTTATCATGTGCTGAGAAGTGAAATTACTGTCATATTGCTCAGAAAAATTGGCAAGGCCTCATCACTTCGGCATCCTCAGTCAGAGAACTACTGCTCGAGAAATTAGGGGTTTGGCCTACGTGAAGTTTGAATTTAACCAGCGTTTTTTTTTAAAAGGTGCATATTAATTACAGTTGACACTACCAATCAGAGAAAACCAGAAAGCCACAAGTGAACTTTATCTTTCCAGTGCGTGCCAATCATTAGATGGATGATTATTTTAAAATTGTGTCTCCTACTACCTTATTAAATTACTGCATTTAACATATTTTATGCTGAATAATCAATATTATGAAGTCAAGGGCTCATTAAGCAGGTTTCATATAATAAAATAAGAGATTCAATATTGAGGGCCATTTTTCAACTACAATTCAATACATCATTTTTTTCAGTCTTTGAGCAGGATCAGAAACTACTCTTCTTTCAATTTCACCATGACCAGTTTTAGACTAAGCGGTTACAGACTAGCCACACAACTTTAAGCTAGAACTGAATGTGCAGTTCAGGTTCTTGTTACCGGCCTTCAGATCCATTAATGGACCAGCATCCATCTCCGTCAAAATGCTCCGTAAGACCTACACCCCATCTCGCCCTCTTTGCTCAGTCTCTTGGACGTTCCTCCACCACACAAGAGGTGTCACACCACACGTTTCGCATGTGTGGTCCTCCAGTGGTGGAATGAGCTGTGGAACGCCATCCGACAATCAGATTCCCTCTCCATCTTCAAGAAATGCCTCAAGACCCATCTGTTCCAGGAACACCTCTACTAGCCTGATGCATCTCCCTGTTCCCTGAATGCTCTTAATGTCGCACGTCTTGTCATTGATTTGTCTTAATAATTTAATTCTTTCTTGGACGATATTGTGTAGCTCCAGCTCCAATAGTGCTTAAACTTGTACGTACCTGGACGTTCACTGGAAGCTCAGTCTAGCTGCACTTATGCCAAATCGACTCGACACCATGTATGTTTGTAATGTGCTACTTGCTTCACTTGAACATTGCATTGGAGAAAAGCGTCTTCAATGTGCAAAAAAAAAATAAACAGATCATAGTTGCCAGACGCTTGGGTCTTATCTGAATCCTGCCGTCAAGAACGCAACACCAGGACACACACAAATAACACATGTGGAAATGGAGATGTCTGCAGTTTGCTGCTGGTGACCATAATTAAAACATCGAACACCGGCTCTCGTACATAAGCTGCAGTGTCTCCATGTCTGGATGACTTTCATCGAAGACGATTGTTCAGAATGAATTCTGCAGAGAACAATGCTGCTTCTTCACAGATGTTTGAGCTCAGTGCACAATGTTTGATCGATAGACCCCGAGGCCCATCGGGACACGTTTGTTTGGAGAAGCCTGCATCACATTTTGGGATTGGCTGATGCAAATGAGACGCTTGTACATGGGGTGTTTGCATATGGTGCAAGGTTCACAGATACCTGACAGGCTTTTAGCTTCAGTCATGTGAACAAGAAAGTGCACACTCTTTCTGTTCTATGGTTTTACATATCAGGACAAAAAAAAATCATCTGGTCCTTACCAGGCTCTTATTTAAAATCTAACATCAGGTGTAAAACAACACAAAACAGATCCACTGTGTCATTATTTAACAAAAATGAAGCCAAAATGGACAAGCCATGTGTGAAAAACTAAGTACACCCCATGATTCAATAGCTTAGCAGCAATAACTTGAAGTAATCTTTTTCTGTATGACTCTA